TCTCAATTAAATTTTTAGCTGAAATTTGGTATGAGTAAACTAGACTTGATGAATAAGATGCTCAAAAAATTTCATCAAAAAATTGCACCGAGAACCGCCCCAAATCGCGACGACCGGACAGAGTCTCCTATATAAGGACTTATATGTAAATATGGACTACTAATTCAGGGTACAACTCTTTTTTAAAATTTGTTATAGTGTTATTTATTGCTAATATTATTATTAATAATATTATTATTATGCTATTATAACTATTATTAAACGAATGTATTTGCTTAGCATTTGAATGGAATATGTTGATATTCTTATTTGTAGTATAATCAAATCTATAGAATTAGTATTCTTATTTCATTTGATTTTTTCGAATTCGAATTGTCTTTTATTATATAAATTTGAATCCGAGCATAAATTATTGAGAATATTACCCGAAATAGGACAAACGATTTGAAAATTCCAAAATACAATTGTCATGTTTTAATTCCCAAAATATTACTAATTGCTGTCATGTTTTGGCAGTACCGGACTTTAAACACGACAGTATTTTATAAACTTGGCAGTAATTACTCCTATTTTGAGAATAAAAAACATGATACTTCTATTTTAAAATTTTCAAACTGTTTTAGTCCTATTTCAGGAACTTTCCCATAAATTATTTTATTAGTATATAAACCTAAGGATGACGAGTTGATAAAACAACATCAACAAAATAATACTCGGACAATTTAACATGACTAGGTCAAGTAATTATTACCGATGAAAAATAGAAAACACACCGTGGCCTTTACGTTTGGACTTTCGAGTGATGCCGGTCATAAACAATGCGGCGTTTTTGGGTCCCACTTTGATGATTATTGAAAAAAAGTAGATTATACCATACTTTCGTTCACATGGACCAATCAAAATTTTGTAATTCAATTATTTATGTTTAAACTAAAAATGATATAACTATTTGGACCAATCAAATGAATTCTAGGTACGATATCCCATTTCTTAAATGGGTATTCGAGTTCTCACAAAAAAAAAGCAAAAAGACTACACTAAGAACAAGAGCAGGTACGTAGTTGAGAAGCACTATGTATTTAAGTACTCCTTAAACGATAAACAAAAAAATAATCTTCGCTACCTTATATAGCACTAAAGATCGATTATATTATATACGGAGTATATATATAATTATATATTCCTACTACAGCTGAAGATGGATGGTGATTATGAAGCGTACAGTAGAAGGCGACGTGCAAAGATCTGCTGCTCTATTTTAACAATATTCCTATTAGTGGTGGGTATTGTATCCTTGGGTATTGGAGTATTACTGAATCACTTAGATAATGTTCAACACCCCAATCCTAAAGCTCCGGCCTACTCCGTACTGGACGTGCCCTTAACAACCAACGACACCGGCTTCACCGGCGGCAACATCAACATCATCCTCAACGCCCGCAACCAAAACAAGAAAAAAACCAACGACTACGGCACCTCCGAAGCATTGCTCTACTTCGGGGATGCCGCAGTCGCACTGTGGCTGGTTGCGAACGCCACATCGCCAGCGTTTTTCCAGCCTCCCCTAGCATCCACTAACCTCACCCTCACCTTTCCTGCACCCGCGGTGGAGGCCCTTGGGGACCGCTCCACCGCGGTCATAAAGATGAAGGCTCAAATTCGGTCCAGCAGCAAAAAGGAGTATGGGTGGCATCAGGTCTCGTGCACTTTGCCCTACTCTTCCCGGCTGCACGGTTTCGATGTTTCCGGCAAGTGTGTCGTATTCTACCAACCACCTCAAATTTGTGGGATACAGCCCAAGTTTGTACATTATAACTTCCTTATTAATATCATCCCTTCCCATTAATCTTTCATTTCCACTACACCAGATGGATTTTTTATGCATCCATCGTGCGCCTTGTGATTTAATGAAAACTTTGAAATATAATTGTGAAAACTAGAAAGACGAGAGAATTTCCGAGTGAAAAAACGTTTTGAAATTTCAAAATAGGATTATCATGTTTTTTTATTCCTTGAATAAGAGTAAGTTCTGTCAAGTTTGACATTAATAGGCTTTAAACATCACATTTTTTTTACCCTTGACCGGGTTGACTCTCCGGGTCCGGGTTGACCCTTGACCCAACAACTTATTCGGGTCGCCTCCGGATCTAGTTCTTTAAACATAGAATTAAAAAAAAGGAATTATAATTAATCACTTTTCAGATATGGTGAATTGAAATAGTTGAACCTCACTTGAACTGATATTTTGATTTAAATTATCATTTAGTTAGTTATCATTCAAAAACTCTCATTTTGGAGAAACTAAACAATTGAGCTTTTGATAGCTTTTGTAGGGTCACAAAAATCTTTCAAACTCCCAAACACAAATATATAGGAGGGTCATCAAACCTCACATGTCTTCCCTTCCATCCCAAAAACTAACTCCCAAACACACCCTAAGAGTATGTTTGATGAATTCAAATACTTAGACTAATATTCATTTTAAATTGAATTAAAGTTATAATTATTTAACTATCCTTCAAAATCACTCATTTTAGAGAAATTTAATAATTGAGTATTTGAGGAGTCACGGAGTCACAAAAACCTTTCAAAACTATTTTTCCCCTTCCTTCCCAAAAACCAACTCCCAAACACACCTTAAGACGGTAATGATTGCACAGGGAAAATGGTGCAATCTAGTAGCTCATATATGCGTTACTATTCAATGTTAAAATAGCGCGATTTTATTATAATTGTTCTTAATTGGTCAATTTGTTTATGTTATCATGTAATGCAGGAACAGAGCGAAATATTGTATCGATGATGATTCTTAATTGTTTAGAGGAGTACGTGTATAATAATCAACTCAGGAACTATCAATTTATACACTGTATTTATTTGATATTAATTCTTGTTGTTGCTGTATTTTGCCATTTACGAACAATGTTTCCCCGATTTTCCTAGTTGTATCTGGCATTATAGTTTTGTCATAATTTTATAATTATATATGCAGTATTAATCTTATACGTAGTGTTTATTTATACTCTCCCCCATCAGGGGAGAATCTATGCACGGGCTATGGTAGGCTGAAGCCCATGACAACTTAGAAAATTTTCAATTTTTTTAGTGTAATTTTTTTCATTTTTCACGTTTAGGCCACCCCTCTAATATTTAAACCTAGTATAATTTCTATTCAGCCCAGGGCATCTCAAATTCCTGGATCCGCCCCTGTCCCCCATTATGAAATTGACTTCTTAATTGATCTTCACGCGGTTTTAAATAGAAAAAAGTAAAAGTTTACTTTTGAAAATCACCTTTGGTATAGTAAAACGAGGTAATATGTTTGATATGTGAAGGGTTAGAGTTTGTTTTTGGAAGAAGGACAATAAGTTTACTTAAATTGATATCACAACATTAACTTTTAGATAGGGAGTTAAACGACAAAAGAACAACAGACAACCGTCAGCCCTCGAATCAGATTTAGACTCAATCACCTTCAAAAAAGCAATATAACTCGTTGATCCTATAATGGGCATAAATGAGCCAAAGACGGTTAATGCAGACCTCCCATCACCCAATCCTAATGCAAGAGTCTAATAATAATAAAAGTAACCTACAGAAAAATAAGCAGTCTGAACAGGAAAAATAAATTGCAAACAGTAAAATTAAAAAGACGCTTCCAAACCCTAGACTCTCCTGCACTCCACGACGGCGGTTCAGGAGGGAGACGATCCAGCAGTACTGTTGCTTCTTTCTCACCTTGCCTCTTCTTCATCATGTTTTCTACCAAAGCCTGAAACTTGATTTTTCGATTCGTGATAACAACTCCCACCACCGGAAATTCAGCCCTCTTCTCGGTTGCGTCAAGGTCTCCGTCAACCTCGTCATCAAAATTCAGCCCGCTGTCCTCTCCGATTGCCATCTTCTTGTATCGATACACGAAATCTTTCATCAAATATCATCGAAGCAAAACACAAATACAATGCCTTCAGTCTTCGATCTGCCCCTTCCGTCGCCAAAGAGAAACACTGCCTTCGGTCATCTACCTTTGTCCGCCGAACTCTTCAAACGAAACAATCTTCTTTAACCTTCGCCTGAAATCTCCTCGCTCCAGCCCAGTAAAAACGTCACACACCGCCGTTCTTCGTCTAAGACGAAAATGGAAAAACCAAAGCTACCCTAGGACCTAAACCCGGCCTAGTGCAAAAATTGAAGGGTTAGAGTTCTATTTTTTTTAGCAGAAGTCAATTATGTGAGAAGACTGAGTTGGACTATGATGCAGGGCCGGCCCAGAGCAAGTGTCAGCGGTGCAGCCGCACAGGGCCCATAAATTTCAAGGGCCCAATTTTTAATAGTCCCCCTATTACTAATAGAGCCCAATATTTAGATCCCATGCTTCAATTAAAAAGTTCTAACGTACACCAGGGGATTCAAAACCTGGTGGGTTTCTTACACATGAGGAAGCTTAACCGGCTCAACCATTTAGTGGATGCTAACATTCTCTCAATTCGTACTTTTATATCATATGAAGTATAATTAAAAACTCATTAGATTCTAAGCCCATGTCATCCACTACAATTATTGATATTAATTTGTAATCATAATAATAACTCTTATTATTTTTTATTGCATGTCATTATTAAATTAACAAACAATTAAATATGTATCAAATGTTTATTGCGTCTATCAATTACATTTATGTTAGGGAATAATTTTATTTTAACTATTAATTTATAATTCAATTTAAAAAATAAATGAATTTTGTTAGGGAGCAGTTTTATTTTAACTATTATGTTAGTGAATAACTTGTATTTTGATATGGGAAATTGCTCCATTTAGGAGTAAAACATAAGGCTAATTCCAAAGTAAGAGTATACTTTTATTAATTCCCAAAGTAGGAGTATTGGTTTCAATCCTACCCAGAATACCCCTCTTATTTTGACACGCACCAAACACCATCCATCAACACCCTCCCCTCTTTTTTCTCTTTTCTCCCATCTCTCTCTCTTCCCCCTTCTCTCCACTTTCTCGATCTCCCCTCTCGTATCTCCCCTCTCGCACCTCCAACCGAGAAACAAAGAACGGATATCCTACTCCAGCGGCGGCGGCATGAATTGGGAGGCAGCAACGTGACTTCGGCGGCAGCCTCGTGTCACCAGCGGCGGCACGACTCCGACAACGTCTTCCAAATCCAGATGTACCGATCTTTTCTGGTAAATATCTCCTTTCTTTTCTTCATCTTCCTCCCCCACCTTCTCATCCTTCTCCTTTTCTTCTCTTTTCTCCTTTTCTTCTTTTTCACTTGAATTTCTGTATGTTTTTTTTATTAATTTTCAGATTCAAATGGAAATTTTGAAACTTAGGTTTGAATTTTGGTGTAGAAAAATTAGAGGCTCCAAAAAGTTGATTATCTCAAAATTTCAGATCTAACTTTGAACTTGTAATTAATTTTGAATTTATTTATTTAAAAATCTGATATTAGTTTTTTAGCCATTTTAAATCTGTAAAATGCCAATTTAAAAAATAATGCCATTTCAAGATGACAATATCATTCATATTGATATTTATTTCGAAAATGGCATTTCAACAAATATTATTATTTTATGGCACTAAGTAAACAAAAATGGCAATATGTGCAAAATTAATTTTTTAGGCACATAGTGCCGATTTATGACATTAATAATCCCATATTTATCATGTGAAAAGTTATTTAGGCAAATAGTGTCAATTTATGACATTAGGGTGCCAAATAAAATATGTTTAGTGCCATGTTTTATATATGTATGTATGTTGTTCCCGTAGACCGCGGTGCCATTTATTTGGCACTAAACTCATATAAATCATGAAAATAACGATGATGGCAAAATAAATGATGTTTTGTTTTAATATAAATGCCATCATTAAGATGACATTAAAATGATGAGATGGCATTTTATAACATTCTGTTCAGATCTAAGATTTGCTGTAGTGGAATCAAAGGTGATGACGCCGGAAGCAGCATGTGTGACGCCGGACGAAATCACAGTGACACAGGATCCGGCGGTGGTGGTGGAGTCCTTGGCGGCGAAGCAATTTGACAGCACCAACACGGCTCAGGGTTGGTGGAGACCCGACAAGGTGGCGACGATGTTTGGCGGCACAGGCACGACAGCAACGTCTGGCGGCGGCGGCGGCGGCGACGTCTGGCAGCGGTGGCGCGACGTCTGGCGACGGCGGCGACGTCTGGCAGCGGCGGCGGTGGTGTGTCCGGCTATGAGTGGTGGTGCGACTTGTGGTAGTGGTAGTCACACATAGCAGTCTGCAAGTCCCTGCAACCCATGACCTACCATTACTTAATGTATTACTTAATGAAGGAGACAATTCATTAAGGGTATTATTGTCAGTCCATGTATTTTTACTCCTATCAGAGCATACGGAAACATTAACTCCTATTTTTGCATTTTAGTTATGTTTTACTCTTAGTTAGGGAATTATCCGATTTTGATATATATGAATTATTATGATTATTGTAGCAAATTTTTACAAATATAATCTTCACTTATATTATATTTCTACCCATTTTACGAAATGGCCCACATTTTATTTTTGCACAGGGCCCGTATTTTCTCAGGCCCGGCCCTGCTATGATGATACCATAATAGTGAATAGTTTGGTGATAAAAGTGAGGAAAAGTGTAAATATACCCTTGAAATATATGTACAAGTAGATATGTGTAAATATATATTTAAGAATATCAAGAAAATAGACGAGTTAGGATGTTTTTACTTGGACTGTAATTTGCTGGTCTGATCTGGTCTGAACTGGTCTGGTCTGGTAAGGTCTGGTTTCTTTGTATTTTTATAACTATCCAAGTCTGGTCTGGTCTGGTCTGGTCTGAACTGGTCTGGACTGGACTGGTCTGGTCTGGTCTGGGACAAATTACAGTCCATGTAAAAACATCCTTATTGCTTCGAGGATTAAAACATCTGCAAGCAACGGCCGCTAGTGGACATATTAGGATGCTACGTAACACGTCTGCTGATGATCAAAATGATACTTATAAAATTTGCAGTGATATGAAGATACACTCAAAATATTTGATCATTGGGAACAAATCAGTGGTAATTCATACATGCACAAAGACAAATTATCCAATCTTAGAATTTGAAAGGCAGAATTGAGTGATTAAAAAAGTTTCTGAAGCTGATTTTCCATATGTTGTTCCAAGAGATTTGATACAGCTACTCTAGGTATACATAACCGTGAGAATTAGAGACTTTCCTAAAGACGACAGAGAACTTGGTCTCAATGCCGTAAAGAGATACATGCTGCGAAAAGTCAAATACTATTCTTTGATCGATTTGCAAATGTATTGAGAGCCACTTGAACAAAGTCAAAACAAAGTCAATTTAACTGCTGTGAGAAATACCGGCTCATGGATAGAAGATTTTGAAGAAGGCGAAATCATCGCGAATCATGAACCTGGGATGATCTATAGAATTACAACGGCGTAAAGCGTATCCTACTTTATAGAAGAAATTCATAAATATTACTACCTCCGTAACCCTAGAATCTTCCCACTTTGACTCTTTTGGGTCAAACTTTATAAACTTTGACCATTAATTATTCAAAACTCACATTATGTTATGATTAAAAATTGATTTTATATACCTCATTGTAAAACATATTATTTGAATGTTAATTTATTATGAATTTTATAAATATAGATATGTAGATATTTAGAGTCAAAGTTCAACTTAGAAGACCGTGAAAAGTCAAAATGGGAAGATCTTTGTGTTACGGAGGTTGATAAGTCCGTATTTAGACACGCATTTGATGCGTGTCCGGGTCGGATTTTGATGATTTTTCTGGCTTTAAGGCGTTGCAAGTCTCAATTTTGGCTCAAGTTGTGTTTAGCAGGCGTTGGATCGAGTTTCATTGCATTTGGAGTTGATTTGAAGAAGTTGGAATCCGGCAATCAGCGCTTGAGAGGCATTCGGGAAGGATTTGAAGGCATTCGAGAAAGATTTGGAAGATTTGGAGGCCACCGGGAGATTCGCGACGAAATTCTGGTGAAGAAAGAGCAGTTGGATCGACCTCATTGGCATCCGGGAGCATTCGGAGCAAGAAAACGAAGGAAAAGTGAAGAATAGGGTCAGGCACGCCGTGCCTGGAAGCTAGGCACGCCGTGCCTGATGCGAAATTTTCCTGCGAGCTACTGGAGGCCAGGCACGGCCGTGCCTGGCAGCTAGGCACGCCGTGCCTGGCATTTTTCGAAGAACTAAGCTACTGGAGGCCAGGCACGGTCGTGCCTGGCAGTTAGGCACGCCGTGCCTGGACGCGAAATTCGGCCTCCTTCCGTAGGCACGGTCGCAGGCACGGTCGTGCCTGGCACCGTGCCTGGCCGCGATCTGTCCTAATTCGACCCGAAATCATTGTTTTCTATAAATAAGGCATCCATACCCACTTTTGGGGGGGACGAACATTACGGAGAGGCCTAGGGACGAATTTACTTGCGTTTTTACGATTGTTTACTCCAAGACCCTGGGATTATTTGTAAGTTCATCTTTTTAATTAATGACAATTAATTCTATTCATCCCAATTCTGTTGATTCTTCAATTATGAATTGTGAGTAGTTTAATTAGGGATTTGGGGTTGATAAAGGGGTTAATCATGATGTATGGCTAGATTCTTGTCGGTTTAATTGCATGAATGCCGTTTAATTTGTGTTTGAATAATTTAATTGATATCTCTTGTAACCTAGACTGCAGCTAGAATTACAATTGCATGTAGAATGAATTAAGAGAGATCTAATTTGTTCTAGGACACATTCACACACACTTAATCGTTCGCTAAGAGATTAGTAGCGATTAAGGGGCCGTAAGCTCGCTCGTCTTGGCAATAATTTAGGATCCTGTCGCATGAGAGATCAGCCTGGTCCCCTAAATTATTGTACTCTACGCCGCGAGAGCGGTAAGAACTTAGTAATGATTAGCTAGGCTCAATTAAATTAAATTCATGTAATTAAGCCTGATCTGCCAGAAATCTGGTTACCCCGGAATCAATTCCTATTCCCTTCGTCGTTAATTGAGAAGAAACCACTTTTATTTTAATCGTTCATCTGCATTAGTTTAATTTTAATTCACCAATCAATCTCGCACACTTGCATTTATTTATTTTATTTCTTTTTAATCGCTGAATTTAGTTAATCTTTAAATTCCCTTTTGTCTGTCCCTGTGGAGACGATACTCGTACTTTACACCACTTTTCTACAACCATTTTAAGTGCGAGAAAACTCACATCAGTTTTTGGCGCCGTTGCCGGGGACGGTGTCGGATTTGAGGATTAATTAATATCAGCGACTTGTTTTTAGTTTTTCGTAGGATTTTTGTCTACTAACCTTGCAGGTCAGTCTGTTTATGCATACACGCTCAAAAAGGGGAGAACCACTTATCTCTCTTAATCCTGAAATTGAGAAGTTCGGTAGACAGAACCACAAGGCTTTTCTTGAGAAGAACACAACCATGGACCCTACATCCTCTGGATTTGCTGGGACGTCAGAGGTCCAAACCATTGCTGATAACCTTGATTTTTTTGTCAATACCTCTCCTCAGTCTTCACCGCTTGCATCACCTAGAAATCCCGCTGGATTTCAAAATTTCCACAATCCTTTCTTCCGTCAAACTCAGACCACTCCACAATTAAATCTTCCTCCATTATACCAACTTTTCCAAAATACCTCTACTGCTCCCGAAACCACTTTTCAGAACCAAACATATGGGATGCAGGGTGTAGGGCAATCCATTCCAGTCTTACAGCCTAGACAGCACTCACCACCAGTCACCCAAAATCCACCCCTGACTCAGCCACAAAATCAGCCTTTTCAGAATCAAAACCAATTCCGTCAGCCCAAAGTGCAGCCCCAACCGCAACCAAACATAATCCGACCGCACCCTATTAGACCACAGCCTGTTCTTCAGGCTAGACAGCAGGCTCCTCCATTCAATAATTATATCTCACATGACAACCCGCTCTATCAGGGAGAGACTATTGCAGATTTCCTCACTCCGGAGATTTCAGAGTATGACAGCATTCAAGTGCCGGGAATTACTGCAAACCGTTACGAAATCAACCCAGCGGTGATTAACATGGTGTCCAATAATCAATTTGGAGGAGGCCCTACTGAAGATCCAGTGGCACATATTACCCGATTCCTGCGGATGTGCCAGACTTTCAAGATACCTGGAGTAGATGATGATCAGGTGCGGATGTTACTTTTCCCCTTCTCACTGAGGGACGATGCACAGAGGTGGCTGGACAGCAATCCTCACCATCATATTCAAACTTGGGACCAGCTGCACAAGTCCTTCATCAAAGAATATTTTCCGACGTCAAAAGCACTAAAGTTGAAGAAGCAACTGCAAGAATTCAAGCAAGGACCCCTGGAGACAATGGTTGAGGCATGGAAGAGGTTCAAGGTGTTGAGAAGAGCTTGCCCACAAGGCAAGATGACTGATTGTGAGGTTCTATCTTGCTTCTACAGTGGACTCAACAACGAAGGAAAGATGATGCTCGATGCTTCGGGTGGTGGAGCTTTTCCTCACTTACCATCTAAGGTGGGGGAAGAACTAGTGGAGAAGATTGTTTCAAATAATGCTTCATGGTACAACTTTCGGGACACACCTCACCAGAAGGCCCCGGGTTTGTATGAGATCAGTGATAATTCTTCCCTTTCTGCAAGGGTAGATACTTTGGCTAGCATGCTTCAGAAGCTCACTACCACCGTGGAGGATAATCAAAAGAAGATGGAACTTGCTCTCTCGGTGCCCAGTGTCAATATGGTAGCCCCCGGTCCTATTAGTCCTTCTTGTACTACATGTGGGGGACTCCATTGGCCGCATGAATGCACTATGATGGCACACTCGGCAGCCCCTGGAGTGGAGCAAGTGGACGCAGTGTATTTTCAAAGGCAGGGCTACTACAATCAGCCCTACCACCAGCAGCAGCAAGGAAACTATGGGCAGGGAAATCAACAACAATATAGGAACTTTAATCAGCCCCAATCTCAACCGCAAGAACAACAATTCCAGCCACAAAGGAATGAGACTGAGCATAAACTTTCTAACTTGGAGAAGACACTCGAGCAATTCATTCAAGTGACTGCGGCGAGAGATCAATCAACGCAGTCGAGTATTCAAGAAACGCAGTCGAGTATTCGAGAAACGCAGTCGAGTATTCGAGAAACACAGTCAAGTATTCAAGACATGCAAATTCAGTTGGGGCAGCTCGCAAAGGCCGTTTCTGAGAGGCCTATGGGATCCCTCCCGAGCAACACCGAACCAAATCAAAGAGAGCAAGTTCACGCAATCACACTGAGGAGTGGACGAGATCTGGAACCTGCTGCCATGAAGAAGAAAGTTGAAGACGTTGAACCTGCTGCAGTTGTTCTTGAGGAGAAGAAGGAAGAAGAAAAGAAAGAGGAGGAGGGGGGCGCAGTCCCAAAGCAACCCGTTCCTGTCAAAGCTTACAACCCACCACTCCCATACCCGCAACGCTTAAA